CAGTAAACGAAGCGCCGATTCGGCGATCATCACGTCACGTTGTCAATTGGCTTGTTCATGTTACCGACTACAATAAAAGTTAAATTTCTTATTTTAGTTGGTATATACGAACTATATAATACTCACAAATCGTTTTCGAATGTTTATATAATAATTACTGTTGGAATTTCCAGCGTATGATCACCCTATGCCTTGACTGGAAATATCGTAAACAAGCACTCATCGCAAATATCGCCGACGACTTATAGCCTATTTTAACCTGTAATCAGTTTTATATAGGCCTACTGATTTTTTTTTGTTTTGTTTATTAATTCCTCCGTGATTTTTAGTCCTATTTTATTTATTTTTGATAGATGATCAATACAAATTACCATAGATTTATTTTTATGGTAAAACAGGTGCAGTAGTTAGTTATTTTTAATCAATGAATACTCATTAACATAATTTATATCATACGACATAAGGGAGGCATTTCAAAGCATATCAATGTTATGTATGTATTGAAATATTTGCAGCTCATTATCCTTTGTTTATATTATCATCAAGGTGCAAACGTGGACACTGTCAGGAAATGAATGCTATCGAAGAATGTCTGTGCTGTCACGAGGTTCCAGATGTGGTTGCAACAAGAGACAGAGATATTACTGTGACTGGTGATCTGAATTGCATTACTCGCCTTCCAGGTTTTGAATCAAACTGTCTCGATGTATGGAGTTTGCAGATGGCTAGGAAGAACACTCCAAAGAAGTACATGTGCAGTGAAAAGAAATCAGCCATGAGTAAGTGGTTTCTGAAGGCTACATATAAACAACAACTACTGTATTGTTAATTTATACAGTAAGCTACACACAATATAAATGTGTAAACAGCACCACACCCAGAAATAAACAGTTACACAGTACTCACACATTTTAAATATAAAAATCCAATGTAATCTGTTAATCAGGGCTACGGTACTAAAAGGGCTACTGTCTATGAAATATAATTACAGTACTTTAAAACATTCAGTATAATATCCCCAAACGTAACAATCAATTCTTATATTAATATTTTACAGGAAATACAGGCACACTGGATACAGGAACTTTGTCAAATGGACACAGGGGTACTTGGGCAAAGATAACCGTGTGGTTTTACCATCATGTGTTGTTGCCAAAATCAGGAACAAGTTCAGGTCCGAGCATTACGCGGGTTTTATATCCAAGTCTATAAATAAATACTGAAGCATATTTTTACAACGGTCTCCTGCATACTATATATATATATATATATATATATATCACTTTTTAGTCCACTTCAAGGAACGTGTGCGGTGAGCAGCAATAACCTCTGCTTTGTCAGGTCGCTCAAAGCTGCTGCAAAGAAACGATGGAATATCTACTTGACTTGGCTGGTAACTCCCTCATTACAGCGATTAACCACAAGGTCCAACAGTTTGTCTACATACTCTGAAAAATATGACAAAGTAGTTTCCATATAAAAGAAAAACCTGTTTTAAATATACACTTCTCTACTGAGAATGTTAGTATTATTGTCGTTTATCAACTATATCAAATAACCATGACAACCAACATTTGTCAACATATTGCAAAACGTATTAAATGATCCAATAGTTTAAGTATGAGAAAGAAATAAAGTTTGATTTAAAAGAAAAAAAAAAGTTTTCTACTAAGTGATTTTATTGTTGTTCGATTAAATTTTTACCATAACTTGCTGCAACCATCACTGGTCTGACAACGGCACCACCTTTCTTGAACTCTGGGAAAGTTATTGCGTAGTGGCTTGCACCATCCACTGTCGATGCTTGTGAGCGACCTCCGTTTTCATTATAATTCAGGACAGCCAATAAGGTCCTGCACAAATAAAATGTTACATAGGAAATAAATCATGTTTCTGCTTAATACAAATCAACAACAATCTAGCTCAACATTATTATTGCTAACATTAACAAATTATTTACCTGCACTTTTGAGGCACTTTTACTGTGTAAAAAGTATAGGCTAGGCCTAGCCTCCTGGAGTAGAAGTAATTTGCCTGTGTGTAGTAGTAGTAGGGTAGCCCTTGCCTATAAGTCGCGAAAGTGCTGGGCCTAAGTAGATTAGATAGCGCATACTGAGGGCTACACCACTATTAGTTCCGATTAAAAAGAAGAAAAAGGCCTAGGCCTAGCTAGGTGGGATAGGGTAGTGTGATACTATATAGCTACCCAGCAAACACAAAACGTTCGCGAACGTTGTGGTTAGGCCTATGTCACAAAATAACGTTCACACAATGTTGTAAAAACATTCAAAAGTTGTGAGATTATAGTACGTACATATGGTTCTACAAAATAACGTTTTTATCACCAAACTGTAATGTTATTATAATGTTCTTAGAACGTAATATTGTTAGCCGGGTAGGGCCTAGGCTGTTAAACATCTAGGCCAACGCAACGTCGCACTCACCCTTGCTCTTTCTCTTTTCTCATAGGCCGTTGACCGACGACGTTTCTTCATTTCGTTGCAAAGCAAATGTCCTGGGCGACTTGGCTTCGTAAATATACTAGGAATTGCTCCTTGTTTCAGTCTCATGGTATTACGACCAGACAGCCCAATACTTTGAGCTAATACACTTCTCGGTTCGTAATCGTCCGGTGCAAAATGCTTACTGCATAAAACAGAATGAGCAGATCCTTGGAAGTGAAGCCTGGTTCTCGAGACTGCTTCATTCCAATTCTTCCTTAAAATTTCATCCTTTGGAAACTGGTGGAAACTAATGTTGTGTGAATGGTTGCTATCACAACCAGCAGCCACACAACGGGGCATACTGACACTTCAAATTAATCGGGAAAACTTTCTATAGAACTTTGTTTTGTGCTGAATACTATCGATCACTGTATGTTTGTGTAGCCAATGCCGCGAACATCGAGTGTTATGTTGTACAGAGTGTATGTCATATCCGGTAAAGGTCAAATGTGGGTCAAATTCAGAAGGCGGGGCTTAGGACTACAGAATCCATAAAAATAGGTGATTTAAAACTCATTTTTTCAGAAAAACGCATTGTCTAAAAATAAAAGGAAAGCCACACATTTTTTTATTATATAATTCTTTATTGTTTTATGACATTTTGAAAGTAACAAGAACATGTCATTTTAGATGGTCTTTAATGAATAAATAACAATAACTATAACGTGTACATAATATCAGTACTACAATAATAAGATTAACATTTTCAATCTTACAATAAATTTTATACAGCCGGTGTTATTTATTGTCCTAGGCTACTATGGCTAATGACAGGTACGCTTTCACCATTAAAGGCTTTTTCTATGAATGGAATGACCTGTACGAAACACGAGCTCCTGTAGACCAAACCCAGTACCGTTACGATTTTAATCATACGGGAAATATCCTCAAAATTGATTAAAAATCAAAGATTAATTAAGAGTCATTTAATTTTCCACCTGCTTTTCACAAAAGCTATATTTCAGCTATCCAGTGACCTTTGAACATCAAAGTTAAAAATACATGTCCTCTCCAGAAGAATATGTAATTTATTTGTATGAAAGTTATCTGGAATACTACTCTTTTTTAAAATATATTTATTTTTTCCTTAATAGACAGTGATTGTAAAGCACTGGAAATCAGCTTAAAACATGCAATTTTACCAATTGGTATGGAATAATACTGCTATATAAGTCAACTTCAGCATACTGCCTGAAGGAAACCATTAAAAAAACAAAACAACTTAGCAATAATTTATACAAGAAGTACATCAAAATGATAGTTGGTGATAAGATGAACAAAAACATTTACAAACACTGCATTTCTAAATGTAATTTAGTTGTTTGTTTACACTTTTAAACACACAGCATCTTCTTCCTGGAGAGGACATGTGTTAAATAAAACACATGATGGTGGATAAAGGATTTACAAAATGTAATTAACACCAAATGATATGTCATTTCATTAGAAGTAGGGGTGTTTATGTTGTATCACTGGAACATGAAATGGTGAAATCCTTACTAGTCAGAAAAATACCAACTATTTGTATTCTGGAAAGGACATGATTTTTAACAACGGAATTGACATATGACTATTGATTGCACAATTACCTAAAAATGAATATGCTAATAAATTAAGTGTTACTTGTTATCTGTTGGGGATGTCAATAAGATACTATGGCTACGGTCACACTAGAGTTTCAAGCCTGGCTTGACTCACCGCGGGTGAGATTTTCGTAATGTGACCGCATCTGCACCGACTTGCGCCTGGCGTGACCTCGGTCTCAATCTACCTATCTCGATCCCGGCTCAGCACCCATACTGACCCTGGATTGACCCTGGCGTGACTGAGATTGACATTTCCTCGTCGGCTGTCGACCAATCACCGTCGATGAATAAAAAAACCCGCGATTCTTCATGTGTGTTCAATCAAGACGCAATCATTACTTTTCATAAAAGTTAATTCAAATTTTAATTAATAATAATGCGATTGATTTGGAGCGACCAGGAAACTGCTGACCTGATAGATTTGTGGGGCCAACCCGAGCTGAGAGACCGGATAGAAAATAAAAAAACAAACAACAAAGCGGGAATTTCTGGCATGCTTGTTGACAAATTAGCCAGTCTCGGACCTGAGAAGAGAACGACGGCCCAAATTCAAACAAGAGTGAAGGCATTGCGAGCCCAATACAAGCTGATAAAAGATCAGTTGAAGAAGAGTGGTTCAGGCACGTCTGGTGTAAAATCTTTGATTGCGATCCACCCAATCACACACGCGTACAGTATATCGAATCCTGTGAAACAGAGTTGGCCAAACTCTCTCTCTACGGCTCTGCTGTTTCGACTTTCATAATTTGGAGGTCAATCCAACTAGTGTTACCGACCCAGAATTTCGAGCCTGGCTAGAAATCACACCCACGGCGAGTCAAGCCAGGCTTGAGGCTTGTGACCGTAGCCTTTAGGTATAGATAGAGTACATATTTTCCTGTTTTATCAAAAATATAATACAGTAGATGCATATCCTAGAGAGGACAATAGAATTTTTATTTAACACGGAATACAAATCTTACAAAAATGGACATAAGTTTAACAATTTTTCACCGATTTTCATAATTCAACTTTTGAAATTTTCCACATATTTTTAACTTTTCATTAAGTAAGAATTTACCACATTATCTTGCACCATTTTTCAAAGAATTCTTTTAGAATATACATACTAAAATAAATGGGAATCCAAAAATGTGTTAATAGTGATCATATTGGCAAAATTTTAATATGAAGAACAAACTGAACTCTACAAAAAACTTATGTAGCTAGCACATAATGGTGTCCATCAAATAAAGTTAATTACTTTATATTATCTTGATAATTACAAAAATCAGATATGAAAAAAAAGAAATGGCCGCACAAAAATGTGTACACAGCTGAGCAAGCGATTGACCTGATTTTGTATTCAGACAACGATTAAGGTTAATTTTTAGATGTGCGAGACTTAGACGTGCCTGTTAGCGATGATGACGGTGGGGCTTCAAGCAGTTCAAGCGGAGATGTTCTTGATGAAGATGAGCCTAGGCCTAGAAATGTGAGGGTAGTCGACGCTTTTGAATGGAAAGATCGCGCTTATAGTTTTGGATGGTTGGGTAAATAAATTATATAACTGTGTGGAATAGGAATGTTTTATATTTGTTTTTATTTTTTTTTGGCTATAATTTATTTTTTTTCTGGTTTTTGCTGACGATTTATATGTAGCATTTTTCTGTCATTTCTATTATATTATATATATATTATATCATATTATATTATGAAAAAAAAATTCCCAAAAATATAAATTATACATCAAATGAAAGCTTATTCTATAAGCTTTCTTTGTTTTTGAAACAATTTTCTGTATAATTTACAGAAAGTTCCCAAAAATCCACCAGAACGACGTATACTCAAAAAATGCAAAAAACATTGTTACACTGCAAAAGAATCCGGTATTCAAGGGTTTGCACTAGAAAAAAGAATCCGGTATCCAGAGGGTTAAGTGACTTAAAGTTAAGTGACTTAACTTTACTAGAATAACGGTAAATTAACTTGCTTAACGGTAAAGTCGGCTCGGATTACAAGGACACGATTATGTAACGTAGGCATCTAAGCCAGCGTTGTTGTATTGTACCACCATTATCATCTTCTGGCTGGCAACAACATACTCCAACAATGCTAACAACAGCATCGAAGTAGTCTCATTAGTCTGGTTTTCAGAAATGATTTGTAATATTAAGGGTAAAAACCCAGCAAACTTCCGTTTTACGAATAGTCGATATTACGTTAAAAAGTCTGATTGTGTACGTTTTTCAAAGTGATAATGTATATTTTTCTTAATAATAAAATCAGATTTGTTGTATTTATTTATTGACAATTCAATCTTTTCCATTTCTGCTATAATAGTCGCTATTAATTCAGTTTCAACAAACTACCACCAAAGCCAAGTCGTTAAAATGAGTGCACATGTTTATGATGACGAAATAAAAGTGTGTGGAAGTCAGCAACTTATTTGACACCACAAAGCTAGATTTTCGGGAAGTGCATGTAAACAACACAATTAAGCAATCTAAAAACTACAAAACGGGACAGTAATGTCCAGACGTTTTAACGAAAATTAAAACAATATTTTGTTAAATGGAAGAATGCTAGCTAGCGATTAAAATAATTCGTTTTTTATCAAAGGTAAATTAGCTAGGGCTTGGAGAATCTACTACTTAGATTGCGATAGAACACACTGCTGCACTGTCGTTGTTTCGTACAGGTCGGTCAGGTTAGGTACTAGTAGTGGAAACTCACACCTTTTCTTCAGTAGTTTACAATTTTTTTTTTAACAAGTACCACTTGGTACTAGAGGTTCGTAAAATACAGTAGATGTTTTATTAAACAAGCCTTTCCATATGACGTCGACGGCCAGAAACTGGCTGGCTGTTTATCTGGCTCAAACTTGGGATCGAACGCAATTAGGGGATTATCGTATCATGTTTCAAGACGGGTATATCTGGATAAAGTTCGACGTGAACCAGGCTAATAACAACTCCCTGAATACCATTATTTCATTAATCACTTTCGACATCACCGTTTCTATTAAATTTGGCAGTAGACACGCGCTCCCACTGGGAGCCTATTTTCTAGAACGTGGGCCCGGTCGAGCACACCTTGTGGGCCGGATCGTCCAAGGTAAGCCAGTGTTGGGCTTGTATGGAAATGCGCCCGATCGTCTGTGTCATCCTCTTTAATCAACAAACACCAGGATCCTCTACAGTACTTTACTATACTACTGTATTGTTGGAACAAGATTGATGAATAAATAATATGAAACTTACTACGTGAAATGTTGAGCACATCCAGGACACGAAAGCGTAACAACAACATCTACACCACTTCCTTCTTCTCAGTATTTAATAAAACTGTCGGCAGTAGTTTAAAATAAAAGCACTCACTATCACCAAAGACTTCTTGGTTAGCACCACCACCACCGCATGCTCAAATACTAGTCTTTGGCACGCTGCACAGTACGGTCTTGGCCTAGGTAATGCCATCTATGAGGCGCCAAGTGTAAATTTATTATTTAACACAATTATTTATGAATAAACTCATTATTTAACATAAAATTGAATATATCACCAATTATTTATATATAATGCATTTATATCTTAACAATTATATGTAAATAATTACATATACGTTTTCATTATTTATAAACAATTAGTTTACTGATATCATCATATAATTATTGAAAGGACATAGGCCTATTTATAACCTACCGGTTACCGTATATAATAAGTTCAATTATTTCATTATATATAAATAAGGAAAGGGTAAGAAATAATTGTATAGAAATAATGAAAAATAACTAACAATTATTTACATATAATAAGTTATATTATATATATATATATATATTATATATAGGCCTATATATGTACTGTCTCTTATACACATCTAGATGTGTATAAGAGACAGCTGTATGATTGTGTAGCCAATGCCGCGAACATCGAGTGTTATGTTGTACAGAGTGTATGTCATATCCGGTAAAGGTCAAATGTGGGTCAACTTCAGAAGGCGGGGCTTAGGATTACAGAATCCATAAAAATAGGTGATTTAAAACTCATTTTTTCAGAAAAACGCATTGTCTAAATATATTTATATATATTCATTCTTTTGTCGGACAAATAAGCAAACAAGAATGAAAACAAAGAGGCGAGTTGGTTGGTCGTGCGTCAAGGGCGCCGTAACCAGCCGTAGTATCGGCGCTGGTTAACCGGCTCTCAAGGGCGCCGTAACCAGCCGTAGTATCGGCGCTGGTTAACCGGCTCACTCGCCGGGGTCCGACGTTGGGGAGGGGAAAATATCCCCGATATATTATGTTTATTTTATATATACTTAGTAGTTCGAAGAACTAAAAAATAATGTAACTATAAATACTTTCAATGGCACAATAATTATAATTATATTTGTCAACTGATTGGTCAACACATGGGTGGGTGGATGTGCAAGGTCATTGTTATTCTGAGAGAACACCTCTCGGTGAATCTTAATTATTGATACTGATGTTATGGATGTTCGCTTATGGAAAGAAATGCCTCTGTTGCTGCCGGGGTGGTGGGGAATAGAATTTTCAGGCTTGCCAATTACTCTTTCTTTTCCAATAAATGTGGTATATCACTCTCTGTAAAATTAAGGAAAAGGGGTAGGAACATTCCCCAAGATATTTGCACAAATCATTGATGATATAGTAACAGAAGTGATGTGATATCGCTACTGCAGAGGTATACAGATGTAAAGGACATAAAACGCTTCTTCAGAGGTCTCCCACAACACCCAATAAATAAAAATGTTAATATTTACAAATTGGTTTCAGAAATCCATTATACTGTAGGCCTAGCTCTCAAAACTCTTATTGTTGAACCTTTTGTGCACAAACCCCAAATGCTGGACCTTCAAATTTCTAAAGGTTCACATTTTAAAACCCATTTTCACTATCGTTCCTAATTATTGCCAAATGCTAGTAGTATGCATTTCATTTGCCATCTCTTCTAACTGTTAATATTTAATAACTGTGGTACGAATTTGTTATTTTGCGGATTTATCCATATTACCAATGTTACTTCTAGGCATATACAGATGTACAGGTACAGTGTCAGGACATAAAGCGTTAATTCTTCAGGTCCCCAAACCCCAAAATTAAAGCAAATTTAAATAGCAAAATTACTAAATTATGGGTTTCAGAAATCCAAAATTGGCCCAAAGCTTTGCCTTCCAACTACCACCAAGGGCACTGCCCTTTACCCATCTGGGGCCATAGGTGGCATGCAGACTAAAGACCATGTTACTAGAAAAACGCATCCCCACCTCCATCGTAACTGTCACGGGAAGAAATGTGCATCTTACAGTCCTTGATAGATTATGGGTGAGCCCAGTGAGGTTCAAAATCGGGCGATCATTATAGGCTTTATGAGAGCGTCTAACTACTATAGAAAAACGCCCAAACCTCTATTTTTACCAAAAATTAACCGTATTTAGACCAGGTGAAATTTTTGATTGATTGAAACATTTTTTTAAACCGTCTGTCATATTCTGACACTATTACTGATTAGTGAGGTATAATATAACATACAGGGCATATCAGGATATAGTACAAAACTCTGCTTTTGTTTTTTAACCAAAAATCAGTTTTTTAACCCAAAAAAATTGCCAAAATTGGAATTTTTGAAAACCTAAGATTCTGATATTTTATTGACTAGTAAGGTATACAGTATATTGGATAAAATGTATTTTTAACATAACAAGAACTGCAATTATAGTTTTATATGTTAGTAGACAAATCTCAATTTTTTACCAATCTTTATAAGATTCTGATATATTATTGACCATAGAGGTATAATACTGCATTGGTTAAAATGTAATTTTACATATAGAGCATATCAGTATAAATGTCAAAAAATCTATTTTGTACCAAAAATCGTCGTTTAAACTCAAAAATAGGAACAATCGGGATTCTTTAAGACTGTTATGTCAGATTCTGACACACTATTGATCAGTGAGGTATGATATCGGTTAAAAGTATATTTTTACATGCAGAGCATATTAGTTATAATTTAAATGTCAACAAATCTATATTTTTTAACAAAAGAAAAAACAATATTTTTAGCCTAAAAATGACCAAAAATTGGGGGGTTTTTAAAACCCTTATGTCAGGAATCTGACATGTTATCGATCAGTGAGGTATACTTTTGATTAGATTATATTTTTACATGTAAAGCATATCAGGTGTTGTTTAAATTTCAAAAAAATCTTTATTTATTTCCAAAAAATAATGTTTTTAGCCCAAAAAAAAGTGTCCAAAAATTTATTTTATTTATTTATTTTTTTTGGTTTTAGAGATTTTCTTAAAAAGCATGTTGATAAAACTATTTCATTCTTATATGGGTTTGTGAAAAAAGAATGACCATATAAATTCTGACCCTGTTTGTACAAGTAGGCCTTGTACTATAATAGTCAAAAAATACTAAAATATTAAAAACCATATTTTTCTCCAAAAATTCTATTTTTACACCAAAAATTCAATTTTTTACAAAAATTTATTTCTTTTTTTGGCTCCAGAGATTTTTCGAAATTTCGAAATTCAAGTATGCCCATACTAGGCCTATCTGTACCAAATTTGGCACTTTTGTCATCCAGGTAATCCAATTATTAGTCTATGCACAAGGTTAAAATCTAGATTAATACAAAAGCGACTTTTTCGTTCAAAAAATGTTTTATTTTCTTTATTTTTTTCCATCTTTATTTGCTTATTTCTGACTAAGTAATTACCATATTGATTCTAAACCTATTTGTACAGGTAGGGCTTGCACTATAATAGAAGTAAAAAATACCAAAATATTGAAAATTGTATTTTTGCCCAAAAACGCGATTTTTTACCCCAAAAATAGGATGTTATCTTTGGCTCCAGAGATTTTCTTGAAAAGCATGTTAATAAAAGTATCTCCACCAAAAATTAAAGTTTTGTCATCCGTGTAACGATTCTTCCATATTTTGACGTTAAGGCACTCTATTAATGGTTGAATAATTAATTCGTTTTGAAAACTGCGTAGTAATAAGTCAGTGCTTTAAAGTTACAATAGACCTTTCTAAAGTTTCAATCAAACTTAACAACTGACCAAACATAACAGGGAATATGCGCGTGTTGTTGTCCCACAAATACACGTGATTGTGACAATTAGAATAAAAGATTAAAAAGGACCCGAAAAGCACTGTGAAAATAAGTGATTTACAACTAGATAAGACGGTTATCTTATTGAATGACATGTGTATGTTCCATTCAAATTGATGAAATACTACCATAAAACCTCGAAGCTCTGGGCTGACACTTTTTTAGTTTTGCGAACATTGGGTGAGCTTCGTTTTGAGATGGGCTTCTTTTCGGGGTTATTTTTGCAAAGTAAAGAGCTGGGAGGTTTTTTCAAAATGACAGCTTAAAATGTTGGGAATTGCTACTATAAGACAATAAAATAGGGCCACAGTAACATCAGTTTGCATCATGGAGTGTGTTAACTGGCATTACAGCACCAAACCCCGGCTTTCTAAACTTTTTTTTTTTCTGGGATCCACGTTAATTATAATTTCCCACACTCTCCGCGACCTATCTAATAATGTGATAGTAAAATGCACAGCGACTTTTATAAGATCCCTGAAATTTTCCAGTGACAAAAAATTATTTTTTTTTAACAGGCGCTATACAAATTCTGAAATTTATTATTATTATAAATTTCATACCCATGTTTTAAAAATTACTCGACATTGGAATTTTATCGATTTTTGCTTACTATTAATCTATGGCGGATCTAGGAAATCGTAATAGATGGGTCACAGGGAGAATTTAACACATAGAGGGTAATTCCCACGATGGTACTCTCAGACTTTACCTCGAATTTTCATTTCCCCCCATTCTTTAAATATTTTGTCAAAATTATGGTGGGGTGTGGGGGGGGGTAGGCGGTTGAGCCCCCTTGAGTCCACCATTGATTATCATCCATTTTCACAGAGACTTTGAATATTGAGACTTATAGAAAGAAATACAAGAGACTTTAAGTGTGGGACAAGACTGACTAACCAAAATCTCGAAAATATAGGATTGGCTTTTGTTTGTAGAAAATATTTTCAATCTTAAATAAAATGTATTTAATAAATTTAAACCTTAATTTTATCCCTGTGGTTGCCCTTATAATTTATATCAACCATGGAGGAATTAGTATAAACCAAGCATGTTTTTATTTCTTTTTTAAAATTTGTTTAAAATTTATTTATTTATTTATTTTTATTTTGAAATTCACATACTGACAGGACTGTAGACCTACAAGAAGCCCATCATGCTCTTCGATAGGCTTTTTATCGAAGCTACTGTTGCAAAAGAGGAGGCTTCAATTCGAGATGGGCTTCTTCTCGAGATTAAACCCATTGGGCTT